GAATAATAATATTTTAGCTTAAACAAAAGTAAATATATTAAACAAAAAAAATGGAGGATTTCACAAAATTTTTCTAATTCTCCTACCTTGTAAATCTAATTTAAATTATAATATATTCTAAAACTAGTCCTATGTTTAGAACTCTGGATTATTGCAATTGCAAATCAGACGGATTTTTTAATCATTTGTGCGGTTCGGTTTAATAAAAAAACGAAGGGACTTTAAATCAAATGATTTGAAATAATACATAGTTTATTTAAGGTTTATTTAAAAATTAAAAAAAAAAAAAAAACTTTTTGGTTCGGTATGATTTCGTGGAAAGTAGGCTGAAAATGATTGATATTGGATTTGATAAATAATAATTAATGGGATATAGTCCACAACCCCACTTCTAGTGAGTCATTTGATGGGATGAAATCTTGTTCAAATACTTTATTATTATTATCCACATCAAAATATGAGCAATTGAGCCTATACCTTAGCCTAGGAAAAGAAATCCCATTATATATTTAGTTTACATATAAAAGACTAATGCTTTACAAGAAAACACCAAGAATAATATGAGGATTCCATTAACATAATGGAATTATTTATTCCTCTTACCTATAACCATCATTTCTTGGTGTACTGCATCTAATAACTAATAACTAATAAGTATAAATTAACTGTTAATACACCTATTTTTCGATTTATACAATTGGTTCTTTGAAATACCTGGTTTTAGAATAATTTAATAGGTCTTTCTCGTCCCACATCACTCCAAAGAAATACAAATTTTTAAGTATGTGATGCATCGTAACTTCAATACGGCAAATAAGATTCAAAGAAGATTTTTCTCTTTTTAACTCTTCAGCCAAGCAAACGTGCTTGTGTCATGTCTTGAATTAAAGTCTTTGGATCAAATCTTGATGTTTTTTTCGCGCCCAACAAATTCTTTTACCTCAAAAATTGAAATAATTATATTAAAGAATGACAATAAGATAAGATGGCAACTCATATCAAAGTTTAATGGTAGTTTTAGTGACATTTTTGGATAGAAATGAATATAATATATGCATATTCTAGGACGTCGTAACTCACACCTTTAGAAAAAAACCATTACATCTACTTCAATTTAGTCCAAAATATCAAGTTTAATTTATTCTGTAATTATGATATTCTTAATTGGAGTATTTTTACATAAGTCTTTTTCTTTTTTCTTTTTGAACTAAATCCGCATCCTTTTGTTATATGCATCTTACCTACATCGGGAGAGAGATTGAGCTTCGACGAAATTGAATAGTAAATGAATCAAAAGGAAATAAAAATAAAAAATTTGTCTCAAAGCAGTTTTTGTGACAAAGAAAGAAAAAGGAAAATTCTATCAAATGCAAAATCCATAGGATCGGAATAGGATATTTTCAAGATTGAGAATCAAAATTAAATACAATAATTCAAGATAGGATTGAATTATTAAATCACAGTAAGATTTTCTTTGTTGTAACTAGAAAAAGTTTCAAATTAATAAAATCTGACGAGTGACCAGTCTTTTGGGAAAGCTAAGTTTGTTGTAGACTTGTAGAGGTATATTTCTTTTCCTAATTCCATATGTTAACAGAGACCATCGAAATCCCAATACAAATTCCATCATATTAGATCTCCTCCAACATTATGTCCGATTATGTTTCATATATATTCTTTGGTCCAAATACACCTTCTAAAAAGAAAAAACTTATATTAATAGAGGCAGTATCTAGATGATCTTAATTCTAATTGATGTGAAACTTCAGTCGCGTGCTTTAAACCAAAACCTTGGAGTAAAAAAATACAAAGACCTGTGAAAGTCATTCTTTATAAGGTATGTAGAGTTGGAAAAAATGCTTTTTGAGAGTGCATGAATCCTCTTTTTTCTTTGGGCCTACCACTGAAATGATACATATAGTGGTGGACAAAGCTTATTATAAAATGTAATAAAAACAAATGTAAGGCATTGGCTTTCCTTTTGTGGCTGCAACTGTAAAAAAGGATGACAAGAGATCAATGAGAGAGCTGTAAAGTCTTATTATTAATTCAAAAGATTAGGACCTGAGATTTTGGGGAAAGGTAGTAATGCTCATAAGAATAAGAACATAAATTTATTGGCTTAAATAAAAAGGTTAATTTCTTCCCCCTCTCCCAAAGGTCCAAATTGGCAACTCTAACCGGCAATATAAAGCTAAAGTAATAATTTTAATGTAACCCTTTTGATAATGGTAGCTAAAAGTCTTTATCTTTACTTGCATCATTTTGATATTCCTCTTGTCGACTTTAAAAATCTAAAGAAATTTCCTTGGTGACTTTTAATTAATGCTCCTGTTTTTTTCTTTTTTTTTTTTTGTAATAAAAGATTGGAGTTGACCTAAAAATTTTGAAACTAGTGGTTTATATCTGTGTTCCGACGACGAAAGCTCCGTCAAATACCTGTACACATAAGAAATTTGTACAATGTATTGACGGTAAGTCCAACACGCTCTAGTGCTTAAGTCAATACCTAGAGTTCTTTAAAGGGAATCTCCTTGAGTTGGTTCAAGTGGAATGGCTTCATCGAGTTCGGTTGGTTCAGGTTCGATTTGTTGAGTGGTTCGACTCAGCCGGTTTGACCTGAGTAGCCCAACCCATACGCTTCTCTAGTTTCAATTCTTACAAATTCGATAGTATAATTTTATTTTACCTAACATTTTGTGTAGATTTAAAGATGCTAATATAAAGGTTTCGAAAGCATGATGGGTAGTTTTACCAATTTTTATCTTCCACTTTTTTTTAATAATTATCTTTAATCAAAATGTAAAAAGAATGGAAAACTGTGCAAAT